GGTTTTTTAACATTAATATGAGTTCCCCTAGCCTGCCTATGGTCCCCCAGTGGCTAGAAATGGCGATAGGTGTAAACCGAGCCCTGGGTATCCTGCTTTGCCTTTGAGAAAATGAAAGCTCAGATGGCCCAATCTGGAATCTTCCCTTTATGTCGTCATACGGGGAAAGGTTACCTCCCCTTTCTCTGCTTTGCCCGCCCAGAGAATTTGGCCCACCCATGAGAAAATGAGCTACTACCGTGCGAGGCGAGCGAAATATTTCTTTTTCCTCGAGAGACATCATGGCTTGCAAACGAGCGAAGCATGGCAGTTGCCCCGCCTCTCTCCTCCTCATTAGCATTTAAGCTACAGACACAGAAATGGCACGTCCTAAGGAAAGCCCATTGTGGGACTGGCTCGTAGTGGCTGAAATTCTGCACCAAGGCTGAATTTCGGGAAAGAGACTTCAGATACAGTACATAATTAAAACTTAATTTTTGATTAGTAATACACATTGCTAAGAACTTAATTTGGACAACTTTAAAGGGATTTTCTCAATATTTAGATTTTTTTGCACCCTCAGATTCCAGATTTTCAAATAGTTGTATCTAGTTCAAATATTCCCTTACCAAAAAGTAGTATACTTCAAGTTTATTTTAGTAATCAGACAATGTACAAATCTTAATTTTGAGAAATTGACACTTATGACTGGTTTTGTGGTCCAGGGTCACTAATAATGTTTTTGTGCTAACTTTTTAAGAACATTATTAAAGACCAGACAACTTTAAATGAACGTTCAATTAACATTACTGGACAAACGTTAGTTCATAACTTGGACTGAACTTGTGAGAAAGTTAACCAAAAGTTCTGAGAATGTTCCTAGTTAGCTTGGAAGCTTCATCCCTGTTATAAACAATTCGATTGGTCCAAACAGTGAAATAGCCAAGTGCAGCTCAGCCAATCAGGTTAGAGGACTGGAACTAACTGTTATGTATCTGTTCTTTTCTGTTATCTTTATTTATCTAAATGTTACTAACAATTCTGGTTAATCCATAGGTGGCAGAATAAAGACCTGGAAGCGGAGGTGGTTTATTTTGACTGATGGCTGTCTCTACTATTTCCAATATACCACTGTTAGTACTCCACCTTTACAAAAATATCAAGTTCGCTGAAACAAAACACACTAAAATCAGTTTAAAATGATCATGTTTCCTATTTAAATAGGAATATTACAAGTGAGATCATTCAAAGGCAATCTTTCCCCTCTCTAGGACCAAGAACCAAAAGGAATCATCCCGCTAGAGAACTTAAGTGTTAGAGAAGTGGAGGATGCACACAAACAGGTACTTTTACCATGTTTTTTCCATTCCACCTCATTTATTATCACTGATCCAAATAGATAGTGTGTTTCTCTAGACTCTATTGCACCTGCTACTTTATGGTTCTTTTAGTCAGCGCTGAGTGATAGCTGTACCTCTGTCAGCACAGTCTAGATTTGCTTTGATGAAACTCTGCTCAGATCCTGATTTCTGTTTTTTTTTCTTTCTGAGTCAGCATCTCGTAATACAGAGTGACATTTAAAAGTTTGTGATATAACATGCTATTGTAACCGTGGAATGTAACCTTTTGAAAAGCATATGCATTTTCTCTTTTAAAACATGCGCGTTCAGTTCTGTTTGGAGTTGTTCAGCCCTCATCGTAAAGGAGAGACAATAAAGGCATGTAAAACAGAGACAGATGGCAGAGTTGTGATAGGCAAACATCACTCCTACAGACTCAGTGCTGCTTCTGAAGAGGAGCGTGCTGACTGGATCCAGGCCATCAGGTACCAGACAGCATAGTATACGTGATTCATTCAGTCGAACAATTAAAAATAAACAGGCTTGATTTTAATATCATTTGCGATTTCTGAATGGCACACAACCCTAGTTCGAACGCCAGCAAACAAGACGGGACATCCAGTGTTTACAAATGAAATTCAAACCACATCAAAATGAGGTTTGAAATCCAGATATTTTTGAAGTGATGATTTTTCTTGTCTTTTGGGACTTCACTCGTTTCATACAAAGAGCACTTTCTGAAATGGTGTCTATTTTTTTCATATAACATACTATGACATTCACTATGTAGTGAATAGTGAATAAGTGAACAAGTCAACTGTTTTAGACCTCACTAAAAAGAGGAAAGGAAAAAGTTCCATTTTTCTATTATGCTAATGCTTACATTGTTTCAATAGCAATCGTATTATTAAAAGTGTATTTATATAGAACATTTCATACATAGTGGTAAATTAAAGTGCTTTACACACTAATGATTTAAACCTTCCTCTGTGCTTTTACCTACTTTTGGTGTGAAAAATGACCGGCCTTTTAAAAATTGCTTGTAAATCTCTCATTATGCTATATTATCACTGAATCTTGAATCCAATCTTTTTGATAGGACAGTGTTTTGACAGCTTATTTATGTCTTTTAGGAAGTGATACAGTAGACTGTATGCCTCATTGATCTTGTTATATCCTGTGTAAGCAAAGTCAGTCTAATTTCTCATTTTTAGTCTAATTTAGTCAAATATATCTTGTATTTTTTTTTAGAGAAAGGAATCTTCTCTGGGTCAAAATGACCAGAACACAACATGACGATTAAAAAAGAAAGAAAGAAAATATTAAAAAATCAAGAAAATATGAGAGACAAATATGATACAGACACTAAGATATTGATGGCAAGATAACAATACGTTTTCATGAGTTCATCAATGTGTTTTTGTAGGTCATGGGAAAGAGGAAGTCAAGTATGTTCAGAAATGTGCACACACTTAGTCATACATTAACAATCAAATTAAAATATATATGTTTGCATTGACAGAGGAACTGAGAATAAAAAAACTGCATCTGAGTCTAACTGTTTCCTCTCTTGTTCTTAGAGCTTGCATCACAAAAGACCCTTTCTATGACCTGGTATCTGCACGCAAGAAGAAGATCATCAGCCACACTGAACAACACGACTGAAGCTGACTGATGAACTGAGGGGATCGGATCGTTTAAACAGTTGCACACAGACTGAAGTAGCCAAAGGGACGATGATGGTTACAGTGGACTGAATGAGCTGGAAATGATGAATGAGGTTCTCAGGGTGCTAAATCTCTCTCTCTCTCTCTCTCAGCACTCAGAGGTCACCGCTGCTGTGTGTGCAGCCTCAGGGTTGGCTTACACGGTGGTGTTGTGGTCAGGCTTTCTGTGAAAAAATAGTTTCCTATTTATTTAACGCTTACGAGAAATGCCTTGGAAAGATTTTATTTGTAAAATATTGTGAAATATCCATGTCTAAACATGAAACAGTTTGTATAGTGTTCCTGGAAACTGTCGGATTTTTCTGCTCCTGTTTAAGTGAGAGCTTCATTTTATTTTCAATGAAAAATTTAAATTAAGCTACATTTCAAAGAGTTTAATAAGGTATTTGTGTTTTGACACACAATTTGGCTATTTTTTTTTGTATATTCCATTTGACTAACACGCATTTATCATTTTATAATCATAGGATTTGTAAGAATAAAATTAATATGTCTGTCTTGTAAATATTGCAACGCCAGTTAGCATTAACGTTGATCAGGTTGAAATTATCCATATTCTGTACATAATAAATGACTTATTTAATGAATGTACCATTATTTGATTATAAGCGTTTGTCATTTCAGGTAATTCCTAAAACTTTTGATAAGACCATGTTATTAAAATATAATGATGTCGCACTGGGATTCTCTAATTAAAGGTATTTACAAAACAAGCCTCGTTTTCACCAAGTACTGCACACATTTGTCCAGCAGAGGGCACCGTTGGTCAAGCTTCATAATCCCTGCAGCGTATGTAGCCTATATATTTATAAGCGTACAGTTCATACACTTGAGGGATTATGAAGATCGACTTTAATATCAATAGAAATAGGATATTTGGGACTTTCCCCCCAATAATTTCAATGGCAGAAAGTATACCCGAAGCTTTTTTTTTATACCAGCTTTTCGAGCCTGGAACATGAGAAACATTTGAAATGACGCTCTAGTCTATTGAAAAAAGTTGCACATTTGCTTCCTTTGCTACATCTATACTGCACTTCTTGTGGTCTACAAAAGCACACTCCCCTCTTCCTGTGCATATTTCCTTTATCTCTGCCAGTTCGCTCGCCATCTCTTCAACCATTTCTGTTATTTCCCTTGCAAGACTAAAGAGTCTGGCTCAAGGTCATGCAGGTCACTGGTTTAACGTACATGCTTTAGCAACACACATCATATTACTCTTAGCAAACAAGGAAAGGCAAATGTCACACCCATGTTAGCCTAACAGATCTGTTGACGTATCTCTGATTATGTCAGCCTGGTCAGGTACTGTGGATGTCATCTTAAGCACAGCTTAGTTTTATGTCGTCTAATATAGCTACAATTCAACACAATATTGCATTATCCATCAACTCAATACTGACCATTCAGCCCGTCCATGAATCACCTGAGAGTTGTTCAGATAATGCAGGTCATGTTTTCAGTGGTCTTTTGAACTTGGACAACACTGAGATGACTGTCAAAAGGTGGCCTAATTTACCATACATTTTTTTAAATAAACTCTAAACTAACAGTTCATCATTTTTCAAAGGACTTAAACCCAAAACTTTTGAGTTTGGGAGAAAAATAAAATCAGAAATATACCACAAATGTTCAGTACATTATCAAGCACTTAGTTTTTCTATATATTCTCTTTTCCAAGAAGTTTCTGCATTCAAAGAATTCGGTATGATACTAGTTTTTCTAGTTGTCATTTTCGAAGCGTACCAAAACCAATAATGACATTTGACCGCTCACATCTACAGTAATAATAAACCTGATAAATTGTGTAAAAGCATCTGTTTAACCTGATTAAACTAACATTTGGCAAATTAGGCTTATTGTCTTTTCTTCAAGGCAGTTTTATGCAGTGCAAGATCACATCTTCTGGAGTTAAATGAAAAGAAATAAGAAGCAACAATATATTTAAGGCCACAGCTTTTTATTTATTGGCACTCTTGATCTAAAAATCAGTTGCATAACATCTATTATTTCCAAACGCCATTAGTTCACACAGAACACGTTTTTGCCTTCCACTGTGCTGCATTGTAATTGATTTTTTATGTAAACATGCAAAACAGATGTCGGCCTTTTATTATAAAACCCCCTCAAGATGTTCTTATACATTCCAGATTTGTTATGCATCTTTAAATCAAAAATGTGTTCTGTGTGAATTCTTAAAAACACAGTACAGAAATTTATATTTATAAAGTAATAAAAGTGTACAACTCATGCCATGTACACATAAAGCCATTCATTTTACATTGCTGGACTGCTTTTCTTTTTGTTGAACAAAATGATTTAAAAGTCACTTTCAAACCAAGCAGCTCGAACACCAATGCAGCGATTTCATGGGACCAAATTAAATCTGTGTGGGGAACCTTTTCCCCCTCTAGCAAAACTCTCAATATTACAGATTCATATTGAAATGATTGGATTTCGCCTGGGAAATTTTGCTGAGCAATGGTAAATGTGACCGCACCTTCAATGGTAACTGATCAGGCTTGTTTTCATCTGTCATCAGTCAGCTTTGCTATGGAGCTTTTCCCTCCTTCCTTTATGACTCTGAGGGAGCCACAGGCTCGAGGATTGGGTAAGTGCAACTGATTAGGCCTGGGTAAATATATGCAGGGCAAAGATCTGCTGAACAGGAAATATGTGTAGCATGCTACATCTTCGCTCTTACATTCAAAGCTCTCTGCAGTCCACCTCTGTAACTGGCAGGAGGTCACATGATCACAGAAAGCGCACTACAGTTCAGTCATTTTTTTTCTGACACCAGCTCCTCGCAGCGTCAGCAGCATTTTGGAGGTTGTTCAAACAACCTCACTTCCCTTTAAAAACACAGCACCAATACTTAGTTTTTCAGCTGACAGCTGAATCAATATTATTGTAGGGAGAATCACTATCCACATCTTGTCCAAACTGAACATAATAAAGAAAAATGTCCTCTTTTTTTACAACATATATTGTTAATATTCTCTTAGAAATGTCTCTTGTATCCAAAATCCTGATCTATAAGCACACATTCTTGTTGATTCCTTTTGCAGAGATACCTCAGGACTGAATACAGGCCTTCTTCTGGTTACGCCTCCGCCCTCTCTGGCCTGAAAAGAAACGAAAGATGTCAAACAAGACTTTAAAAATATCAAAATAGGGCTGCATGATTAATCTAAATAAAACTCTGATATGGCTTTGTGCTATTATCAAATTGCAAGGGCTGCAATTTAAATAAATAAATAGATGCAATGTTACAGAGTGAAGCACAGCACTGTGTTCTTATACGTCTCAATGCCACTCCACTTGAGCACTTTAATATGCGTTTGGGAACACAACATGTGGCAACCATCTTCTCATACTTGCTGCAATGAGAAGCGCTTAAAAAGGAAGCTTTAAGGGCTCCCTGTTGTTTTCCATCAAAGTAAAGGTTCTATTGTTAAACATTGGAAACTAAAGAAATGAAGACAGCTATAAATATTATTATTGTAATTTTATAGTTTTTAATTATATAGTTTATTTATAGCAATGTTGATATATAATAACAAAATTTGGGCCAAATTGTGTAGCCCTACAAACAAGCAAACCTAGAATTTTTTATATCACATTTTAAATTGCATCACAATTTTTATCTGAGAATTAAAAATACATTTCCCCCCCAAATTGTGCATGAAAACACTGCACTACTCAAAAGATATATAAATAAATAATCAGCATACATACCATCCTCACCATCTGTGGCAATAGTCTGAAGAGAAACACTCCTTGGACCCATTTTGGTCTTCTTGAGTTTAAACTTAACCTGTGGTGGATTCTCTATCATCTCAAATGTGTCTTCAACTTCACCAGTGCTGTCAGTCTCTGAGATCTTGCGAGGAGCGGGAGTGACGTGTTTGGATGCGTCTTCTTGCTCATTAATATGATTGGCCAACCAAGATGCTTCCTTGGAGTTGCTGGTAACCTTAGTGTCTTTATGACTGACCTGTTTCACATCTGTGCTTTGATGGGTTGTTTTAGAGAGAGTGTCTGGACTCTGGTTGTTTGCTCTGCCTTTCAAGAAATGGCGGAAGGAAGAGCGCTGCTTTTTAGAACCAAACAGCGAAGGCTTCTTCCCATCGCCTTTACCATCCTCTGTCCCATCTGGGGATGTAGGGGACTGTGGACGTACACTGTCCCCATTGGTGTAGATTAATTTTTCCATGTTGTTCACAGAGGCATGGTCAACATAGTCTCTCAGCTTAGAAAGATCCTGCAGGGAGCCAGTCACACCTAGACTGTTGCCAACGACTAAAGAGTACTTAGGATTATGGTATTTATGTGCAGGCACCTTTAGGCCGGCCTGTTTGGAGTCCCCTACAGAGATCTGGAAGCGTGACGTGGATACAGGAATTGTGAGTTTGTTGGGTTCTGTTGGCGTTTTCAGCACAGGAACTGGCAGGGCCGGCTTACTGATGTGAAACTCACGATACAGGTCCACTTTATCAGACACAGCATACAGCTCTCTGAAGTCATTGTCGAAGAAGTCAACAACCTGTCCTGACATCACAGTGATTGTGTTGCGGTTCATCCTAGAGGAACTCCACGTAAAACTATAAAGATGGGAAGTGTACAGTAAATGTATTGATTAAAGATTGAACAAACGTACCACAATGGTGGACAAAACTACAAGATGTACTTGTTTGGTCTGTATACGAACCTGTATGATCCAAACATCACTTTCTCTCCATCTACCAACATGTATTTGGAGCACAGCGATCCTGGCAGACGACCAAAGGACAGTGGCATGCCAGAGCCTCTCACAGTTCGCACACGCAGGTTCTGAAAGATCAGAAAGAGAGAAAACAATGTTTAAAGCTGTGTGTACACTGCATAATTTTTTGCTGTGGAGTGTAAATCTATTGTATGTAAAATACTGTTTTAGTCATTCTGAAATGCCTGAGCTTGTCATCAAAATGATTTTGTATGACGTTGGCACCGATAGCATTGCATTACGGACATCTTCCCGAGTTCGAATCCTGGCTTGAGGACCTTTCCCGATCCCACCCCCTTTCTCTCTCTCCCACTTCGCTTCCCGTCACTTTCCTATACTAATAAAAAGTAAAAAAAAAAAAAAAAAACCACCAAAAATAAATATTAAAAACATGATTTTGTAAAACTACTAATGCATAATTTCGTTCAATAACATCAGGCATCCGAATGCAAGATAACATTTCGTCTGTGCACTCAGAGGTGCAAGCAATTTATTATGTAGGAAAAAAGTTACAAGCTTCTCTAGTTGCAGTAACTTTTTTATCAATGATGCTTTGTGACAGTTTCAAAGGAACTGAAATGTTTGGGTCTATCTAGTAAAATAATTACAGTATGAGGAAACAAGAGGTCAGCAACTGGTGACATTGGGGCATGTGAGAGAGAAAAAATCTTATTATTTAGCATCAGTGTTGGGGAAAGTTACTTTTAAAAGTAATGCATTACAATACTGTGTTACTCCCTAAAAAAGTAACTAATTACGTTACTTAGTTACTTTTTATGGAAAGTAATGCGTTATATTACTTTTGCGTTACTTTCACGTTACTTTTTAAATATGAACAGGGCTTGATTGTTTTTAATATAAGAAGTTCTATTTATAGCAAATGTATAAGCCCTTTCACACCAAAAAGTGTAATGAATAAACCTCAGGCTGAAGGAAAAGTAAATTCACGTCTGTACAGTAGAACGCAGGAGAAGAAACGCTCTTCAGCAATAAAAAAAAAAAAAACAATGAAGCACAATTGTTAGTTTACCTAAAGTCATTTTTGCTTATTAGTATGGTTGAACTGGATCATCAAAGGTCAGCAGCAAAGACATTGGTTAATAAAATGGGATTAGATACATTTGTGTTATTTAACATATTTAATTATTGCAGGTTTGCATCATATTCTGAGTTTGCATTTCACTGTTTTAATTCATTTTGATGAATACTAAATCTGTTTTTTGTGAGTGGGATGAATTAATGCACATTCACATTTACTACAAGATGTACTTGTTTGGTCTGTATACGAACCTGTATGATCCAAACATCACTTTCTCTCCATCTACCAACATGTATTTGGAGCACAGCGATCCTGGCAGACGACCAAAGGACAGTGGCATGCCAGAGCCTCTCACAGTTCGCACACGCAGGTTCTGAAAGATCAGAAAGAGAGAAAACAATGTTTAAAGCTGTGTGTACACTGCATAATTTTTTGCTGTGGAGTGTAAATCTATTGTATGTAAAATACTGTTTTAGTCATTCTGAAATGCCTGAGCTTGTCATCAAAATGATTTTGTATGACGTTGGCACCGATAGCATTGCATTACGGACATCTTCCCGAGTTCGAATCCTGGCTTGAGGACCTTTCCCGATCCCACCCCCTTTCTCTCTCTCCCACTTCGCTTCCCGTCACTTTCCTATACTAATAAAAAGTAAAAAAAAAAAAAAAAACCACCAAAAATAAATATTAAAAACATGATTTTGTAAAACTACTAATGCATAATTTCGTTCAATAACATCAGGCATCCGAATGCAAGATAACATTTCGTCTGTGCACTCAGAGGTGCAAGCAATTTATTATGTAGGAAAAAAGTTACAAGCTTCTCTAGTTGCAGTAACTTTTTTATCAATGATGCTTTGTGACAGTTTCAAAGGAACTGAAATGTTTGGGTCTATCTAGTAAAATAATTACAGTATGAGGAAACAAGAGGTCAGCAACTGGTGACATTGGGGCATGTGAGAGAGAAAAAATCTTATTATTTAGCATCAGTGTTGGGGAAAGTTACTTTTAAAAGTAATGCATTACAATACTGTGTTACTCCCTAAAAAAGTAACTAATTATGGTACTTAGTTACTTTTTATGGAAAGTAATGTGTTATGATTGTTTTTAATATAAGAAGTTCTATTTATAGCAAATATAAAAGCCCTTTCACACCAAAAAGTGTAATGAATAAACCTCAGGCTGAAGGAAAAGTAAATTCACGTCTGTACAGTAGAACGCAGGAGAAGAAACGCTCTTCAGCAATAAAAAAAAAAAAAACAATGAAGCACAATTGTTAGTTTACCTAAAGTCATTTTTGCTTATTAGTATGGTTGAACTGGATCATCAAAGGTCAGCAGCAAAGACATTGGTTAATAAAATGGGATTAGATACATTTGTGTTATTTAACATATTTAATTATTGCAGGTTTGCATCATATTCTGAGTTTGCATTTCACTGTTTTAATTCATTTTGATGAATACTAAATCTGTTTTTTGTCAGTGGGATGAATTAATGCACATTCACATTTAGTCTAGAACTACAGTAACATCATGTTCACACAGCGCACACAACTCCTCTGCACTGCTGATTTCTCCCAATATGGGGACAGGAAACTTGTCAGTCAATAAATGGGAAAACAAAGTAACTGGCGTTACTTTTTTGCAAAAGTAACTCAGATATTTTCTTGTAAATTAAAAAAGTAATGCGTTACTTTACTAGTTACTTGCAAAAAGTAATCTGATTACGTAACTTGCGTTACTTGTAATGCGTTACCCCCAACACTGTTTAGCATTGCATTTAAGTTATGAACAAAATTACCACAGGTCTGCTCTGAAGAATAAAGAAAAATCTCTTTTAGGGGGCTGTTCACATATCGCATCTTTTGTGCGCTCAAGTTCGTTATCCAGACACAACTGACTCCTGACTCCAGACAAGATTTTTTTAATGGAAAAAAATTGCCAACATTAGCTCAAGGGCTTGCTTCCCGCGGTATCATTTCAATTATGCGTGTAAATGAGGATGTCAAAACACACGATCCGGTTAAAAGTTTTAAAAAGTTAAAAGTCTTAGCTAAGATCTAGATCATACTGTCTGACATACAGTAAAAGATGCACAGTCTGCTATAACTTTGAACCAAGATCTGGCTTGTACCACAAAAAGGTCATTAAAGGGCAGTTAAGGCCCATTTACACTGAAGAGAACTATCTTTAACTAAAGGTTTTAATAACTGTTCAAGTTCTATGAAAATAGTGTCCATAAGACAGCTGCAACGATAATAACACAGCAGAACGATTTAATTGGTATAACTTTCAGAATGATTTTTTTCCTGTTTATGAAAAATAAAACATCGACAGACAGTCAAAATTCACTGACTTTAAAGAGCTTGCATGCTAAAAGCAGCAGACAACAAAACTGCCATGCTTATAATAAATGTATTGTTATCGTCTGTGAGTGTGGATGATATAGCTACTGTTATCTTTATAGTTATTGTTCTTGGCATGAACAGTATAAAGTGGCAAATCTGGATTTTACAAAAGGCATGAGGTGTCAGAGCAACACACCTGACATGGGCAAATATCCAAGGTGAAGTCGGTAGTGAGAGGTTAATGAAAAAATCCTTGCACACAGGGGTGTGGCGATTTCATTTGCACACTGAGGACTCAAAAGAAAGGAATACTGTAGCGACAAAAGGACTTTGAGTACAAGGCTGGCATGGATGAGGAAAAAGCAGAAGCGTGAGAGATTAGAGCACTCCACAACTCTCCTAAACAAGATCAAGTTGCCTTTTTTCTTAGTTCTGTTGAAATCTGCAGATCCTCTTTCAGGAAATAACAATGCTGAAGTATCCAACTCTATTGCTCAGTGTAAAGTGTCAGATGAAAAGCCCTAGTGTCCTATATAAAACAATCCATCCACATAGATAAGGCTCATTGGCAGTGTATCTTAGGGAGATCGGCAGTATTTGGGGCAGTCTTGCGGAAAGCACTGGGTTTCATTCTACAGCGTGGTTATGTGTGTGCACAGCAGACCAGGAAGTCAGTTGAACCCTGTGGCAACAGCTCCAGAATCAACCAGAGTTTCAAGTTCACACAGATCCCTTAAAGGTCAGCTGACAGTCTGTTAACATGTGCATTTGTGAGTGATATGGTAAGTCACGTGTTCTTTTTGACTTCTTTTCCAGCAAAGCCTGATAAGGCACGTCTGACTATTGCTAACATACACACATTATGATGTTTTGATAACACGTGGCTTCACTTTAACTAGCATTGTGTGATCGCACACAGGGAGTTAAGAATAAAAGGGCAACATTTTGGTTCACTAATGGCTAGTGCTAAGGAATAAAAATTGAATTGGGTTGAAGAACAGATACTGATTTTTGCTTCCCAACCTGGAAGAAGGTAAAAGTTTACATAGTGTTGTTAAGATTACAATTGTTTGTCTTTAAACGCCATGTACTCAATGATCAACTTTACCAGAATTTCCTTGCAATTTTATAAGAAATAACAATAAAATTAATTGTAAAAATTATATATATTAAAATATATAAAATTATATTATTTATATATACAATTTATTTTATTGTTTTGCAATTTGGTATAAAATAGGACCCTGACATATATTATCATTAATTTCAATTTCAATTTCAATTAATCACATTGAAAATGAAGTCTGTTACCAAAATATTTTGCAATGTGACATTATTTAAAGGCAAATATTGATCTCCAATTTGCATTGTCACAATGCATCCTTTACGGATTCTTTTTTTGCTAAGAACCAGACATTCAAGTATTATTTTTTTGTATTAAAATCATAAATTATAACCTGTACCACAAATACTACTATGATTTAAAAAACTGTATTTATTTTATTATGGTAATGTGATTTATTTTTTATTGTGGTAATGAGAATAGATCTTTTTTTTTTTTGCATTATTTTAATAATAACTTGAGGGAAATGTGCTTAACTATCAAAAATAATGCCACAAAATAATTGCCCTAAAACTGGCTTCATTTTTGTTTCATGCAAAACACAATTTCTTGTGTATCAACCAATTGTTATCACTCACCCTCAGGTGCTGCACAGAAATCTGCAGCCTGCTGCTCATGTCTAGGAAGTGCGGCAAGCCGTGCTCCTCCAGCAGCAAGTACACAGCCACCCCCCTCTTACTCGCAGCATCTAACAGATCCTGCAGGATCAGCAGGTCCGTCAACAGGTCCATGACCACCGCAACCAGCTGAAAACCAAGTGAAACCAAACCAAGGTTAAAGCTTAGCAACTTCACTTAGCTTATCATTACATCTGCTTTGAGGTGAGTATGAACCACATTGGGGATTTCTCTTTTCTTGCACTGCGACAGTCTAGTTTGTCTCAGTTTGAGTGAACATGTGAAATCACATACAGAACACAGAGCAGATACACTCCAGCAGACACATTAGCAATGAAAAAGTCCAAACTCAACATGAGTCACAAGCTATTTATGAAACAAAGCAGTCAATCTGGGTTAAAAGACACGTATGTGTTATATATAAACCACACACCACAGCATTTTAACAAATAAAATGCAAACTAGGTCAGCATAAATCTCATAATGACGTGGAAAAACAAGTTTAAATTTATTGGGTCAATTCAAAGCTTGTTTAAGGTAAAGGTTAGGCCTCAATCCCTTCTTCATCCTCACTGACTCGCATGTCAAAGCTATGTAAATAAGAAGGAAACTATTTGCATTAAAGAGAAAACACAGATAACAGCTGAACAGGAGTGTCACAGGTTGAATCACTTTTGATAACAGATTCAGTTCTTTTGCTAAAGCTGAAAATATTTGAAAATTACATGTTTTATTGATTGTAAACTATTCTTTAATAACATTTTTAAGCTTCTTTCACAAGATACAGTACAAGGAAATGCTATTTTAACATTTTCAGACATGCATGTTTCTATCAGTTCCTCAAGAGGAGGCGCCATCTGCTTCAGATGAACACATGACATCAAAGACATGAGCGTCAGGATCGACCTGGATAATATCTAAATACAACGTCCTGTGGACATAGTCTAATGCTAACATTGCCACCTGATTTCCTGAAACTAAAACTAATAAAGTGCAACATTTTGGTTCACTAATGGCTAGTGCTAAGGAATAAAAATTGAATTGGGTTGAAGAACAGATACTGATTTTTGCTTCCCAACCTGGAAGAAGGTAAAAGTTTACATAGTGTTGTTAAGATTACAATTGTTTGTCTTTAAACGCCATGTACTCAATGATCAACTTTACCAGAATTTCCTTGCAATTTTATAAGAAATAACAATAAAATTAATTGTAAAAATTATATATATTAAAATATATAAAATTATATTATTTATATATACAATTTATTTTATTGTTTTGCAATTTGGTGTAAAATAGGACCCTGACATATATTATCATTAATTTCAATTTCAATTTCAATTAATCACATTGAAAATGAAGTCTGTTACCAAAATATTTTGCAATGTGACATTATTTAAAGGCAAATATTGATCTCCAATTTGCATTGTCACAATGCATCCTTTACGGATTCTTTTTTTGCTAAGAACCAGACATTCAAGTATTATTTTTTTGTATTAAAATCATAAATTATAACCTGTACCACAAATACTACTATGATTTAAAAAACTGTATTTATTTTATTATGGTAATGTGATTTATTTTTTATTGTGGTAATGAGAATAGATCTTTTTTTTTTTTGCATTATTTTAATAATAACTTGAGGGAAATGTGCTTAACTATCAAAAATAATGCCACAAAATAATTGCCCTAAAACTGGCTTCATTTTTGTTTCATGCAAAACACAATTTCTTGTGTATCAACCAATTGTTATCACTCACCCTCAGGTGCTGCACAGAAATCTGCAGCCTGCTGCTCATGTCTAGGAAGTGCGGCAAGCCGTGCTCCTCCAGCAGCAAGTACACAGCCACCCCCCTCTTACTCGCAGCATCTAACAGATCCTGCAGGATCAGCAGGTCCGTCAACAGGTCCATGACCACCGCAACCAGCTGAAAACCAAGTGAAACCAAACCAAGGTTAAAGCTTAGCAACTTCACTTAGCTTATCATTACATCTGCTTTGAGGTGAGTATGAACCACATTGGGGATTTCTCTTTTCTTGCACTGCGACAGTCTAGTTTGTCTCAGTTTGAGTGAACATGTGAAATCACATACAGAACACAGAGCAGATACACTCCAGCAGACACATTAGCAATGAAAAAGTCCAAACTCAACATGAGTCACAAGCTATTTATGAAACAAAGCAGTCAATCTGGGTTAAAAGACACGTATGTGTTATATATAAACCACACACCACAGCATTTTAACAAATAAAATGCAAACTAGGTCAGCATAAATCTCATAATGACGTGGAAAAACAAGTTTAAATTTATTGGGTCAATTCAAAGCTTGTTTAAGGTAAAGGTTAGGCCTCAATCCCTTCTTCATCCTCACTGACTCGCATGTCAAAGCTATGTAAATAAGAAGGAAACTATTTGCATTAAAGAGAAAACACAGATAACAGCTGAACAGGAGTGTCACAGGTTGAATCACTTTTGATAACAGATTCAGTTCTTTTGCTAAAGCTGAAAATATTTGAAAATTACATGTTTTATTGATTGTAAACTATTCTTTAATAACATTTTTAAGCTTCTTTCACAAGATACAGTACAAGGAAATGCTATTTTAACATTTTCAGACATGCATGTTTCTATCAGTTCCTCAAGAGGAGGCGCCATCTGCTTCAGATGAACACATGACATCAAAGACATGAGCGTCAGGATCGACCTGGATAATATCTAAATACAACGTCCTGTGGACATAGTCTAATGCTAACATTGCCACCTGATTTCCTGAAACTAAAACTAATAGTCAGCAATCAGCTTTGAACTTTTTAAGGCACATCTAAATATCATCCAACTAAAGACTACGGGACAGTAACTCAATAAGTGTACTCAGAATGTGAAGAGTATAAAATAACATTGCCATAAATGTGCATATAATGTCTGGTCTTCTAATACTCTATAGCAAGAATATTACAAAAGGTGTGCTTGAAAATGAATAGTAAAATCAGTTTATTAACCTCCTGAGACCCTGTGACCTCATATGAGGACATTATATTTTGGTGTATTTCTCTGAGACTATACATGCCACGGTTTTAAGTCTGGATGTCCTGTACAGAGCACATTCAGGGCTTTTCAGAGATACTAAATGTTTGGATGTTTCACCATGACCACTCCCTCTCCTTGGTCTTCAAATATGTCTGATATTAATTTAGTGACACTCTTATGGAAATATGATAATATTTTGTAATTATCATTTAAATCTGTCTAATTTTTAAACTGTCTGTCATAAATCAACATCTCAGGAAAATGTTATGGGGTTTCAAATCAAAATATGACTTTCTGTTACGAAACAGGATGTTGATTTCATACATGTCCTCATATGAGGACACTGGGACTAAAAGCATGTTTATTAGCATTTTGGGAGACATAACAACTGAATAGGGAAATAAATTATGTTTCAATATTCTATGAAATATTATATATTATTATGAAAATCTTGTCAAATATTACTCCCATTATTACACTTCTGTTTTCATTACATGTTGCCCCAAAAACACATTAATATGCAAATTAGATTTAGTTTATAGATACATTGTATATAATGAGAAAACCCGTTTATGGCCATTTTACACAAATTTTGCAGAAAGAAAAATGGTATATCAAATCATTCTGTAATAACATAGTTCAGAATCATCTTTATACAAAGTTTGGTAAAAAAAAAACAAATCCTGAAAACTAAAAATGTATTGGTGATTTTAAAAAATCTATTGTTTTTGCCTATGCATGTTCATTCATGTCTTTTTTTTTGTTTTTTTTTAATTGAGTCCCGATGTCCTCTACCGAGGACATAGCATAACTTATGAACAAAATATAATTTTTTTTATTCTTTTACATTTTTTTTATGCTCTAAATGTTTTTCCTAAAAATCTTTTCTAGGGTCTTAAGAGGTTAAGAAAAAAACAGTCTGAGTTGCTGTATAAATGTAAATCGACATCAGTGTAACTACAAAACTAAACAAAATAAGAGCAGCACCTGCCAGAACATAATTAACTCAGTGTGTCAAGTGCATTTGAATAAGTTTCACCGCAGCCGTCCAACAAATAAGTCTTACGGGTGTACTTATGGTGCAAAGAGATGTGATGACAGTGTGACAACCAGAACACAGACGTAAAATGTTTGTGTATTTACAATAAAATTAACCAGCTATATATTATACTGTATTAATTTTGCTGTTACAAACAGAGATGGCCCATTAAAATCAGGTCCAAAGATTGTAATGACCTGTTGAGTATTATTATCTCATTGTGTTCGGGATGTATGACAGATTTACAAGGCATTTGTGAGAGGAAACGGAACTAAATTACAAGTTACAATGAAATGTAGTAGTTCTTGAGTTAACACTTTTCATTAATGTTTTTACAGCTTTTGTATTTATTGAGGGTTATGTACATTGAGTGAAGGCAGCTGAAATACTTTGTACCTAAAGTGTGTCATTATAACTTATCACTGTTAAGGAAGTCACTTACATGTTGCCCCAAAAACACATTAATATGCAAATTAGATTTAGTTTATAGATACATTGTATATAATGAGAAAACCCGTTTATGGCCATTTTACACACATTTTGCAGAAAGAAAAATGGTATATCAAATCATTCTGTAATAACATAGTTCAGAATCATCTTTATACAAAGTTTGGTAAAAAAAAAACAAATCCTGAAAACTAAAAATGTATTGGTGATTTTAAAAAATCTATTGTTTTTGCCTATGCATGTTCATTCATGTCTTTTTTTTTGTTTTTTTTTAATTGAGTCCCGATGTCCTCTACCGAGGACATAGCATAACTTATGAACAAAATATAATTTTTTTTATTCTTTTACATTTTTTTTATGCTCTAAATGTTTTTCCTAAAAATCTTTTCTAGGGTCTTAAGAGGTTAAGAAAAAAACAGTCTGAGTTGCTGTATAAATGTAAATCGACATCAGTGTAACTACAAAACTAAACAAAATAAGAGCAGCACCTGCCAGAACATAATTAACTCAGTGTGTCAAGTGCATTTGAATAAGTTTCACCGCAGCCGTCCAACAAATAAGTCTTACGGGTGTACTTATGGTGCAAAGAGATGTGATGACAGTGTGACAACCAGAACACAGACGTAAAATGTTTGTGTATTTACAATAAAATTAACCAGCTATATATTATACTGTATTAATTTTGCTGTTACAAACAGAGATGGCCCATTAAAATCAGGTCCAAAGATTGTAATGACCTGTTGAGTATTATTATCTCATTGTGTTCGGGATGTATGACAGATTTACAAGGCATTTGTGAGAGGAAACGGAACTAAATTACAAGTTACAATGAAATGTAGTAGTTCTTGAGTTAACACTTTTCATTAATGTTTTTACAGCTTTTGTATTTATTGAGGGTTATGTACATTGAGTGAAGGCAGCTGAAATACTTTGTACCTAAAGTGTGTCATTATAACTTATCACTGTTAAGGAAGTCACACTGTGTGTGTATGACTTGAGGGCTCCGGCAGTGTGATTGACAAGGAACTTACAGACAAAACCCAAGGCTACATGAGGGTGATTTCCTGACTGATTATTACTTCACTCTTTTTACTGAAACTCATTCACAATGACACACATATAGTATAGTACAATATAGTACATATAGTACAAACGGTTAGATATTTCTATACATACCTGATTTAACCAATGGCTAGATACCTCTGTTTTGTGTTTTTAGGGGAAATTGGTCTTTATGAGAATATCTTTTCTTTTTAATAGTTCTTAATATATTATGCTAATAAAAATTCCATCATTAGATTAGATTAAGTTCATTATCATTTTGCAGTATCTATTTATTTATTTAGGCTTTTCATTTAAAGTTCAAATGAATGTTTCTGTTTCATATCATTTTGTATGACTAAAGATCAATGTTTAGTCAGGGTGATTTCCAAATAAGAGCTCAGAGCTATTTCACAAATAAACAGCACTCCACCAAAATACCCATAGCCACAGGGACTAGGCCTCAGCAGTTTCTGAAGAAATGTCTTCTTCGGCAAACGAAATCTGCTGAACTTAATTCTTAATATTTGTACTTAACTTCATTAAATCATTCCTTCTTCCATATTCCCACAACTTTATGGTAGCTTTTAAAACAGTTAGGTCAGCGTTAAATGTTAGGCTAATTATTTTAAAAGATGATCTTATGCTCAGTGGAAAGTACACAACCACATGACTGACAATTAACTTCAAAATATGTCAATGACAGCCCCATATAAACTTATACAATAAAACTTGTTTAGGCCACATGCTTCATCTTCATGTGAATCATACAAATGAAACCAATAAATCTATAAAACATCTGAAATATGACTTAGCGTAAGTCATGACACATTACTTACATCCTTAAAATGAACTATATATTTCTGTTACTACTTTATTTGTTAATACTCCAATAGTGAGAAGTATATTTTTAAATTTCACTATTAACCATTTGATTTCAAGTTAGGGATTCAAATATCAACTATTCACTTCCATCTAACCCACGTATTAAAATTGTTCCTATTCCAATTTTACGATTAAGGTTTTTGAAGTTTCTAGCAACTATTCCAAAAGATACTAGTATCTATTTCAATACACAAACATATTTACTTGACACAAGTACCTTATGAGACACAGACTCATAGTATTTATACCAGCAGTAACATTTCATATTTCAGTTACCACTACACTTTTAAAAATTAAGGTTCTTTATTGGCATCAATGGTTCTACGGAGAACCTTGAACACCCGTGGAACCTTTCAAATGTAGAAAAGATTCTTTATAGTCAAAAAAGGTTCTTTAGATTTTTAAAATGTTCTTCAAAATGGTTCTTCTAGGAACTGTTCACTGAAAGTTTCTTTTGGGAACCAAAAATGGTTCTTCTATGGCACTGCTGCAAAAACACCCTTTTGGAACCTTTATTTTTAAGAGTGTAGTTACCTTACTAGTTACATTTTAGTAGAAACGATGTATTTAGTACCCAATTGCTACTAGGAAAACTAGATATTGAGAATCTCCTGGAAATGGACTAGTAACCATGTACTAATACCTCAAGAACAGTTACTAGTAAAACTTGAATAGCTACCAGCAACAAATGATAACACACACAAGTTAGAAATAGCCTACATTGCCAATAGTAGGCTAAACAATGGGATAGCTACTTGTTGGTATACTATTGATGCTATTACTAGTATATAATGCATAGGTACTGATGACTAATTGAACAGATATAGGTCACTAAGTAGCCTACTAATGACTAATGAATAGTTAGGAATTTTCATTAGTCACTAGCTATTACTATTCGTTAGTCATTATTATTGGAATACTTGTTTTTTTCACTAGTAATTAAAAAAAATAGTATATAAAAAAAGAAAGTGTTTTCGTTTGGAATAAATGGTAGACGGCCATGGTCGCTTACCTTTGTGGATTCTTGAACGAGTCTGCGGACCACCTCTTTAATATGCGGACTGTTGGATTTTGGTGGGTGGGTGTAAACCGACACCCGAGTTACCCCTTTGTAATGGCCGTTGCTGGGCCAACCGATGTCCAGCGGAGGGATCTCCGTATCAGACATGGTCGGCCAGTAGGTTGAGTGCACACCTGAGTCTTCACTCGTATCATGGGGCGACCGTGAGCAGCAGGTGTCCGAGTCGCTGTCATATTCCTGGAAGGTGTCCCGCATCCATTTGATTTCCCTTGCGGAGAGAAAGTCTTTAACACTATCCTCTTTGAGACGCATCTTGAACGCGCCATCCCCGTTTTTCAAGAGCTGCTCGAGTGCGGCCCGCTGCTCCTCGCTGTAATAAAACTCCGGTTTGGACTCCGGTATTTTCACGTTAACATGTTCATCGTCCATGCATACTAGCTGAGACTCAGCCATGACAGCTGTGCTCCCGGAAACAACGGTTCACCTGTGTGGCTCCAGGCAGAACGCTCAGCACACCTTTACCTGTTTGAGTGGTTGGCTGAGGTGTTTCTGAGCTAGAATAAAGACAATTAGTGGGCGGAGCTTCGATAGCGTGGTAGGCGGGGCTTCAGCGCTCTGTATGAAGGTTCTTGTGAATTGACATGACGACACTTGTTTAACTTAAAATAAACACGGATGAAACCGTCACGGTAGTTTCCTTGACTGACGCCAACTTTTTGTTTCTTTACCAAAAAAGTAAATACAAGAATATAACTACCACCAAAAAAAGCTTAAAAAACAATAATAGGCCTAATAATAGGCTAATAAATAAAAAAATATTTTTTTATTTACCCTTACGAAAATTAACCATGCTTTTACTAAAAAAAAAACAAAACATGGTTACTATAGTTAGTGCCTGTGCCTATTTTGACAAATCACTTCTTAATACAAAAATGGGTACAGTAACATAAAAACTTTGCTTACTGTAACCATGGTATAGTTAAACCATGGTAACCACAAATTAACTCTGGTTTTGCTACACTATAGTTTAACCAAGGTATTTGTAGAAAAACTGTTATTATACAAATGTAAATCAATGCGCCAGAAAACCACGGTTTCTACACTTTTACTAAAATAAAACAATGGTTAATTTTCGTAATATTCTGTTATCCTTTACCTGTAACTTTATTTCCTCCGTGGAACACGGAAAATAGAAATAAAGTTATACAGGTTTGAAACAACATGACAGTAATTAAATTATGACAGAATTAGATTGAACTACCTCTTTGAAAAGATCACTTGACTTATATTTGAAAGCAGAAAGATTTATTCAAGTCCGCTGTTATTACCATATTTGCCATCCGTATTTTCCATCCTGTATAACAAAACAATAATCATACCTCTTCTGCCTGTGCCTATTTTGACAAATCACTTCTTAATACAAAAATGGGTACAGTAACAAAAACTTTGCTTACTGTAACACTGTATCTTGTGTTAGTGTGTCCTACTGAAGATCTTAAAATATAAACATGAACTGAGGGGTCACTGTAAGGGCTATGTACTGTATAATTCAGTAATTCATATAAGGGAAATGTCTAGTCATTAGGAGAATTTGACACATAAGAGAAATGGTATAGTTCTTTCTTCGTACCATAAAAATTATGTATAAAAAAAAAGATTATGTATATGAAAAAGAGAAGCAACAAAGAGCTTCATGAGTCTTTTTCTCACTTCTCCTCAACAGTTCTACAGCCAGTTTTATAAAAGTAATTTGAAAATAATTGACCAGTCCGTACATTATTGACAGGCATTTAGTAAGCGATTGATGGATTTGACTCTTAGCATAGTGATTCCACACCTCTGAGCAATCAGAAGACATCAGATCTGTTCTGTGTAATTGGCAGGGAACAGACCAGTCCTGCCACGCAATCGACCTTTCCACCATGATGCATCAGAACGGTCCAGTACTTCAATCATTTCACCGGAACTGAAGCCCAACTCGTCATCTTCCTCTGCTGTGAAGTCATACATTGCTCTCACCTGTATGGTTGACCGCTAAAACACACACACACCCAATGAAGCGTCAGTATAATAAAAGGTACTAATATCCTTCTGAACTTTGTTCCTTAATGTTCCTAAATGGCTGGTTCCTAAATCATTTTGTAAAACTGAGGATATGAAAGTAAAATCTGCATTTTACTAATTTTACTAATGTATATGGATAAATTACCAATAAATATGGGTAAATAAATAACCGTGTATAGCATTTAAAGGTGCAGTGTGTAATTTCTGTGCATTATGAAAGAGAATTGCAAAAAAAATTGCAAACAAGTTTCTCGAACACCTCTTACATTCTATTGGCTGGACAAACAGATAGTCCTGCCCCCAAACTCATGCCATTGGTTGGTTCATTCAAGTCCTCTTTTGACGCTCATATTAATGAGTTGGCAAGTCATAATTATGATGTCAGGTGCATTCAAGTCACTTTGGTCGGAGCAAGATGGCGATTTAACTTTTCGACACTTTTTGAACTCTACATCTACAAAATGATAAATAATGTACATCATTGTGTTTTTGCTTTTTTCTGTTTTTATTCAATTTATGAAGGTGATGTAAACTGAATCATTATATATTCCAAAAAACAGTCTGAGTTGCTGTATAAATGTAAATCGACATCAGTGTAACTACAAAACTAAACAAAATAAGAGCAGCACCTGCCAGAACATAATTAACTCAGTGTGTCAAGTGCATTTGAATAAGTTTCACCGCAGCCGTCCAACAAATAAGTCTTACGGGTGTACTTATGGTGCAAAGAGATGTGATGACAGTGTGACAACCAGAACACAGACGTAAAATGTTTGTGTATTTACAATAAAATTAACCAGCTATATATTATACTGTATTAATTTTGCTGTTACAAACAGAGATGGCCCATTAAAATCAGGTCCAAAGATTGTAATGACCTGTTGAGTATTATTATCTCATTGTGTTCGGGATGTATGACAGATTTACAAGGCATTTGTGAGAGGAAACGGAACTAAATTACAAGTTACAATGAAATGTAGTAGTTCTTGAGTTAACACTTTTCATTAATGTTTTTACAGCTTTTGTATTTATTGAGGGTTATGTACATTGAGTGAAGGCAGCTGAAATACTTTGTACCTAAAGTGTGTCATTATAACTTATCACTGTTAAGGAAGTCACACTGTGTGTGTATGACTTGAGGGCTCCGGCAGTGTGATTGACAAGGAACTTACAGACAAAACCCAAGGCTACATGAGGGTGATTTCCTGACTGATTATTACTTCACTCTTTTTACTGAAACTCATTCACAATGACACACATATAGTATAGTACAATATAGTACATATAGTACAAACGGTTAGATATTTCTATACATACCTGATTTAACCAATGGCTAGATACCTCTGTTTTGTGTTTTTAGGGGAAATTGGTCTTTATGAGAATATCTTTTCTTTTTAATAGTTCTTAATATATTATGCTAATAAAAATTCCATCATTAGATTAGATTAAGTTCATTATCATTTTGCAGTATCTATTTATTTATTTAGGCTTTTCATTTAAAGTTCAAATGAATGTTTCTGTTTCATATCATTTTGTATGACTAAAGATCAATGTTTAGTCAGGGTGATTTCCAAATAAGAGCTCAGAGCTATTTCACAAATAAACAGCACTCCACCAAAATACCCATAGCCACAGGGACTAGGCCTCAGCAGTTTCTGAAGAAATGTCTTCTTCGGCAAACGAAATCTGCTGAACTTAATTCTTAATATTTGTACTTAACTTCATTAAATCATTCCTTCTTCCATATTCCCACAACTTTATGGTAGCTTTTAAAACAGTTAGGTCAGCGTTAAATGTTAGGCTAATTATTTTAAAAGATGATCTTATGCTCAGTGGAAAGTACACAACCACATGACTGACAATTAACTTCAAAATATGTCAATGACAGCCCCATATAAACTTATACAATAAAACTTGTTTAGGCCACATGCTTCATCTTCATGTGAATCATACAAATGAAACCAATAAATCTATAAAACATCTGAAATATGACTTAGCGTAAGTCATGACACATTACTTACATCCTTAAAATGAACTATATATTTCTGTTACTACTTTATTTGTTAATACTCCAATAGTGAGAAGTATATTTTTAAATTTCACTATTAACCATTTGATTTCAAGTTAGGGATTCAAATATCAACTATTCACTTCCATCTAACCCACGTATTAAAATTGTTCCTATTCCAATTTTACGATTAAGGTTTTTGAAGTTTCTAGCAACTATTCCAAAAGATACTAGTATCTATTTCAATACACAAACATATTTACTTGACACAAGTACCTTATGAGACACAGACTCATAGTATTTATACCAGCAGTAACATTTCATATTTCAGTTACCACTACACTTTTAAAAATTAAGGTTCTTTATTGGCATCAATGGTTCTACGGAGAACCTTGAACACCCGTGGAACCTTTCAAATGTAGAAAAGATTCTTTATAGTCAAAAAAGGTTCTTTAGATTTTTAAAATGTTCTTCAAAATGGTTCTTCTAGGAACTGTTCACTGAAAGTTTCTTTTGGGAACCAAAAATGGTTCTTCTATGGCACTGCTGCAAAAACACCCTTTTGGAACCTTTATTTTTAAGAGTGTAGTTACCTTACTAGTTACATTTTAGTAGAAACGATGTATTTAGTACCCAATTGCTACTAGGAAAACTAGATATTGAGAATCTCCTGGAAATGGACTAGTAACCATGTACTAATACCTCAAGAACAGTTACTAGTAAAACTTGAATAGCTACCAGCAACAAATGATAACACACACAAGTTAGAAATAGCCTACATTGCCAATAGTAGGCTAAACAATGGGATAGCTACTTGTTGGTATACTATTGATGCTATTACTAGTATATAATGCATAGGTACTGATGACTAATTGAACAGATATAGGTCACTAAGTAGCCTACTAATGACTAATGAATAGTTAGGAATTTTCATTAGTCACTAGCTATTACTATTCGTTAGTCATTATTATTGGAATACTTGTTTTTTTCACTAGTAATTAAAAAAAATAGTATATAAAAAAAGAAAGTGTTTTCGTTTGGAATAAATGGTAGACGGCCATGGTCGCTTACCTTTGTGGATTCTTGAACGAGTCTGCGGACCACCTCTTTAATATGCGGACTGTTGGATTTTGGTGGGTGGGTGTAAACCGACACCCGAGTTACCCCTTTGTAATGGCCGTTGCTGGGCCAACCGATGTCCAGCGGAGGGATCTCCGTATCAGACATGGTCGGCCAGTAGGTTGAGTGCACACCTGAGTCTTCACTCGTATCATGGGGCGACCGTGAGCAGCAGGTGTCCGAGTCGCTGTCATATTCCTGGAAGGTGTCCCGCATCCATTTGATTTCCCTTGCGGAGAGAAAGTCTTTAACACTATCCTCTTTGAGACGCATCTTGAACGCGCCATCCCCGTTTTTCAAGAGCTGCTCGAGTGCGGCCCGCTGCTCCTCGCTGTAATAAAACTCCGGTTTGGACTCCGGTATTTTCACGTTAACATGTTCATCGTCCATGCATACTAGCTGAGACTCAGCCATGACAGCTGTGCTCCCGGAAACAACGGTTCACCTGTGTGGCTCAAGGCAGAACGCTCAGCACACCTTTACCTGTTTGAGTGGTTGGCTGAGGTGTTTCTGAGCTAGAATAAAGACAATTAGTGGGCGGAGCTTCGATAGCGTGG